GAGCTGTTTGTTATATCGACTACCATCGCCGACATTACTTTTTTAGGGGGTCGTTTCATTGCCCTAATATCGTAAACACATATAAAAGTTTGTGTTTGATTTTTCTAAGGTGCTGATTTGTTTCAGGATTTTATAGACGCCATGTTTGTTGAATGTAACCAATGATTTGTCGTCAGTTATGTTGTTTCTTATGATAAGCGACATGGCCGACATCTGTTCGTTGCCAAGCCATTTCTTTCTATTGATTGTAAACACGTATTAAAGGTCATTCGTCTGGTTTTTATTTCCGCCAAGGATTTTTGATTCTCGCTTTAATTTGTTATCAACAATCAACATGGCTAACACGTTCTTAAGAATGATTCGAAGCAGCGGACAGTTTTTTTTTTTTTTTTTTTTTGGCATTAGGATGCTGGTTTGTTGCTAGTCTTTCCGCTGCATAGCCGCAATGTTGGTCGAATTCAATCAAAGATATTTGATATCTCTACCTTGTGCTGTATGTATCATTTTCCGAGTTCGATTGCAAATATCTATCGAAGGGGCGTTGTTTTTTATTTTAGAAGGATGGAAAAAAGGGAGGGATTTTGAATACGGATTATCATCAATTTGGAGTTCATCATTCATTCATTCTCACATTCTAACGAGGCGGCCATCTTGAAAATTGTTAGCCTGCGTCCCAGAGCTGCCACGTAGGCTAGAAAATTGTCGATGTGTCAACGCTGACGCTTTCGTTCAATAGAATTACGTCCACGAATTGGGCTTGAGTAACCAAAAAACCTAAGGGTTGCCGGCAGGCTGTCCTTTTTCCCCTCCCCAATCCCCCTCCCCCAGAGCCGCCACGCAGGCTAGCCTTTCGTCTACGTTAATAAGGAGTTAAAACTTAACGGAACTAAAGCTCATGTTATAGTACATTAACGTTGTGTTATTTGGTCATATCAAAAGGTTTATAAAGCAATGCTTTTTGTCTTTAGATGAATGGATTTTTCCTCAGGGACATGAAAATATGTATGCACGGGAACTTAAGATATTGTAGAAGTATTGTAAGTCCGAGAAGGTGCCAACATTGACCTTGAGATCGTCATTAATTTTTTCAGTACAGTCGCAGTCTTTGTATTTATAGGTCAATACCGATGCTTTGTCTTTGTCAGTAAGGCATGAGCTATGTAAACTGCGTAGATTATCTATTAACCGGCAAAAGACTCAAATAATATAGATAGAACAATACAAACACAGTGACTGGTTAATTAAGCTGTACTATACACTTATGGACTAGCTGCACGCTAATTGCTCAAGATCAACAATGTTAAATAAAAAACATCGCACGCGATTTTTATAAATGTAATAATTATTACATCGTAAGCCTCGCAATGTCACAAAGAAACAATGGCCCATTAGACACATTTGTTTTCACGCACTCAAGGGAGGCTTAGTACTTATTTAAATATGATTGGTGTATTTACACAAAGGGTCTATGCCGACGTCATTGAGAAGTCTCTTTTTTCAAATTACTCTCTTTTTAATCTCTTTTAGTTTTCATGAATTACAAAGAAAGCATTCATTTTCAAGCGACGCGCAGCTTAAATTGCCGCAAAAAATTGCCATGAAAATAAAAAGTGTTCTAAAAGTTGAGCGTCAAAATGAGAGATAACAGATGAATGAACATTCAATATTTAACTGATGATGATATACCGTTGAGCGAACAATATTCAACAAAAATTGAAGTACTCTATTCTTCCTAACGTTGGTAGGGATATATCGTAAAATAAACCTAGATGAAAGAATAAGACACTAAAAATGACAAATACTAAACAATAAAAGATCAAGAATATGCCACCATAAATATGCGAGTAAAATTCACACCCCTTCGCTATATGAATTGGAACATATATTATCAGTCAAAGCATATCACTAAATGACCAATATTCATCGAACGATTGAGCACTTTGATATGAGGCACCCCTCCATTGATGGACAGCAATAGATAATACGGTCATCAAAGCTTATGATCAAACTGGGCCAATATATACCCTAGAAGCCAAACAATGGAGCACTTTAATATAAGACATGGACAATGAGACGAATACATACTACCATTAAAGCGTAATGAATGCATAAAACTAAACGACGCGACCTATATGATATTCCAAAGAAATAAACACAGTAATAGTTGGTCTTCGGAGCTGTCCGAGGTCCACGGTTTCATTCTCAGAATCTCGACGTCTGTTTCCACTTCGACTCTCTAATCACGGCAGTGTAGCTTCAGCTTTGAATACTCTTAAAGCAGAGTACTGATGGAGAGAGGGAGTAAAGTGCACACAGTTGACTTAAGTTAAATTTCAACAGGAGGAACTACCGATGTTATAAGTCGTTTACCTTTTTTTACCTTTTTTTAACCTGATACTCGACTTAAAATGATACCCCCGTCACGTGGCACAGATGATATCAATCAAAGCAATGAAAAACAACCAATATACTCAACAATGCAGCACTTTATTATAAAACGCGTCGATCGAGAGTTAATCCGTTTGATATCAAATCAGATGAAACCAGAAACACACAATGACAATATGAATCAAAAGAATAAAACACTCATTGAATATGAGACAACACCACACCAAACTGAGCGCTCCTCTCTATACACTCACATCATGTCGATAAGTTTGGACCACAAAATTTCTCTCTCAGAGCTTCTTAACGCCATTAGACATAATATTTTTGGTGGTCAAATCAATTCCGAAAAGGCCACTACAAATATTGACACTTTTAGGCTCTTGAAACGGAAATCTAAGATTTCTCAAATAAGGTATATATTAGTTGTTATCATGTTTCAACTGTTTAGAAGAATATTCTATATAACTCTTTGCGTTTCAAAAGCAAAATTACGACAAGCGAGTTATATTGGTTGTTATGACTTGGTGTTCTCAAGTTTATCGGTTCTTACGGCAAAACCTCAAATATTCACGCCATTTTTGATATGCGGTTCCAAAAGGAGGTCAAAGAAAAATTGACGTCTTTAGCTTCTTTCTTGTTTCTTTTGAACTGATCTCGTATCTTTATGGCTTTGTCTTAAAACTACAGTCCCATATTGTTGATAGGGAGAAATATAAGTCCTTGGTGTTTGGCCATACGTGTCACACAGGCATAGATGGTGATAGGGTATACTTTCTTTTGTTTTTTCTTTTTTCTCCTCCTCCTCTTATCTCTTCCTACTCCTCCTCCTTCTTCCAATTATAACTTCTTTTACCACCACCATTGTTGTTATTGTTATTATTTTAACCTCAGGATAATCAGATATGATACAATTTTTAATTCCATGGTAAAAGTACTAGTCGGGTCTTTTCGCAAGACGTAATTTTCAAACTGACACATTAACTGACATTTTATAATCTAACCTAACGCTAAGTGCGCTACTTCTTTCCTTCTTATTTTTTTAAATTTTTTTAAAAAGTCCTTAAAGTTCTTAAAGTTTTAAGACTTTCCTTAATGTTCTGGCTGTTTTTAAGATTTGGCAGATTTCCGAAGTGTTCCTATCCTGTTCAGTTCTTAKGTCTAATAGTTACATAATCCTTTAGTCTCATAAACATCATCATTATTGTTATTCATAGCTATTATTATTATCATTATTATTATTGTTTATTCATCTCTACTGCCACGACCACTGCTGTCGTTATTATTACCATTATTACTATTATTATCATCGCTATTATTCAGGGACGTAGCGAGGTCATAAGAAAAGACAATATACCATTTTCCCGCCAATACAAACGCGTACGCGTTTCATCTTTAAGAGTTTCCCGCCATATCCACAAGTTCCAGTAAAACATTTTTGGGGAGGCGGTCACCACCTCGCTACGTCACTGCTATTATTATTGCTATAATTGATATGACTTTTAAAACTCTTGTTGACTGAATAAGGAAAATTATGGCTTTTGTTTTCGAGTCAGCAGCACGCTTTGAATTCTCCACTTTTCTAGAAACAACACAGAGTCATCTAATGGGCGTATGGCAAGGACACAAATAGAAAACTATAGGCGAGGTTCACTTTACTCTCCCTACTTGAGGTCGCTCTTGTCTTGATATTTTTATTTCGTCTTTAAAATGTACAAGCGAATTGTATCCGAGCCATCAAGTGAGTGTGCTAGATGTGTTTGTTTGAGTCTCATTCATTAGAGTACTGTCCAAGGGCCACTGAGATGTCCATAAGGATTTCCATCAAAGTTCTTCCTAGACCACTTTTCTCGGATTTCAAGTAAGATAAGCTATTATTGTAGCATTATAAGACACATTTCCTTGTAACTGAGATCCAAAATGACTTCTGCATCTGTAACTTTTATTTAATGTGTCCGAACTCATTTATTGAACTTGTCATGCGATGTCTCCAATGCCTGATGGACATTTTGAAAGACAAGACATGAAAATACGATTGACACGAAGATAAATTGCCTAGAAATAAGTGACAAAATCAAAAGAAAAACCTCGTAAATGAATGTTAAGAAACCCGGAAACAATGTTTTAAGCGTTTCTTTAGTCTAAAACTATGGTTCAATAAGAATACTTTTAAAAACGGCTATTCAGAATTTCTTTTCTTAGATATGGTTTTACGTTATAGCTCAACCCTTTAAACTTTTAATGCAAGAAATCGATAGATTGCTATCAGATTGATTTTGAAGCCACGTTACGTGAAAACCATATTTAGCTTTCAAACGACGGAAAGGGAAAGCGGCAGTTGGACTAAATAAATTCAAACTATATCTAAAGTGCACTCGTGAAAATAATGATGGGTTTGCAAGGATAATACACTATCTAGTTTGCGTACAACCGGAATAGTCTACCTTGATCACAGTTAAAAGGCTTTCTACATACGTCACTCTTGGCCATCACTTATCGCACACGCTACCTTACGAATGTGAAAACTCCAGCTGTTATGAGCATGCGCCGTAGGTCTTTTTGTAGCCTACAAAACGTGTGTCGTACAACCATATCGTTGTATTTACATAGAACTAGACCTTTTGACACACAGGTGGAAAGCGTGTGGTGGACCTTAGCCAATTTCGCATCTAGATCTGGATTGTGAATATTTTCCTCTTCTAATGCTCGCGAGCTCAGCGTGGGATTCATTGTTAAAGTTCAGGTGTTCTCTTACATTACCATGAACGAGTATTTATTGGTTTTGTTACAACTTAATATTCTGTCAGTCAGTTCAACGCTATAAAAGCAAAGAGTCAGTACATCCCGTCACAACAAGCTCCGTTATTATCATATGCAGGTCGATAAGTAAAGCGATTCRAAGCGATGGAAAATCAAAAACATAACTTTTCTAATCTCACCGAAGAAGCGGAAGGAATAAAAGACGATGATTCACGACTCGGAGGATTTCAGGCAGCTACGGATGTTCCGCTTCTTTCTATTGGTCTTTTGTCGTTTTTGACAAACTTGTTTATCATCACAACAATCCTTAGAAGACGAAATCTACGAACAACTAGCAATCTTATTTTGGTCAGTTTAGGGATTTCCGACCTCCTGACCGGTTTAGTTGCCGTACCGCTTCAAATAACCTGTTCTGTGGTGCTGGACAGAGGATTGTGCATCGCAACTGCCATCTTCACAAAATTTATTTCCATCTCTACAATCGTCCACATCTCTATTATCACAGTGGATTGGCACATATTCATAATCCATGCGCTTCGATATCACGTCTTAGTCCGCAAGAGATACGTTTTAGCAACACTTTTCGTCGTCTGGCTGATCAATTCAGGAATCGCGTTAGTGCGCCTCGCTTGGGCCTTGGAGATCAATGTCACTGAAGACGAAGACGACAAACTGCACAATAAAGAAACTCAATATAACTTATTCTGCCTTGGGATTTTCTGCCTCCTGCTCATGACCAACATCATCTTGGACGTCAACATGCTGGTTGTCCTTGGTAAACAAGTAAATAAAATTATCAAGCACAATCTGACCCGTGAATGCCTCGTCCATGAAAACCGTATGCGATCCAACCAACGCAGGGCGGTCATCATGTGTGTTTTGATGCTGGTAATCAACGTCATCCTATGGTTGCCCTACTTTACGTACGATCTTTGGCAAGATCAAGGCGCATGGGTGCTCAGTTTGGAAGGCGAGTATGTTATTCTTAGCGTACGAGTTCTAAGCTCATTGTTGAATCCCATTATCTATACGATTGGTCAAAGAACTCTTCGAAAAGTGGTTGTCAAGAAGTTGCGTGTTGCTTTTGCGTGTAAACAAAGCCAGGAGTTTAAAACTGAGGAAATTCCGTTGAATGAGATCACAAGAAACTGATTTAAATCAACGAGACGTTTTCCATGCTCGGTTTTATTGAAACTATCTAAAAGCATACGGTGGGATGGACTCTGTTAAAGTGTAAAACTAAAGAAATTTCTTTGAATGAGATCACAAGAAACTGATTTAGATTTTAGATCGACGAGACGTTTTCCTTGCCCTGTTTTATTGAAGCTGTCTAAAGTGGGACGGACTCTGTTAAATGCGTTTTACGAGAGAATGCCAAGCGTAATAGGGCTTTATGGTGTAGGTGGAGCTAGAGTTTTTATCGCGTCAAACTCGGCATCGAGATATAATTTTGTGTAAATAAGTTCCTAAAAACAACAATGGCAATAACAACGGTTACAACAACAAAATCTGAAAAACTAATAAAGAAAGAGGCACAAAAAGAAACATTATTATTCTTTTGGGTTTTTTGAGACCGTTTAAATGAGACTTCTTCTGGATTAAAGAAAAGTTAAAACTGAGCATGCATCAAGAATTAAAAAGGAAGAAAAAAAGCATTTTAAAAAGAGAGAGAAGAGACTAATCATCAAGGAACTGATGGAACTAGTTCTTGTTCCTCGAGGCTTGGCGGCAGGAGAGCACAAACAATTTCAAGATGTCTTGAAAAAATCCCTGCAGAACCCCGACAAGTACAAAGACTAGATTATAGAATTATATTTCAAACTTGATATCTTTTCAAGTATACATCCAAAATATGATTAACGACTCTTGCTCCAAGGCTCATTTCTAGGTTCCGATTCTCAGTCTAAGACTAAACTCATAACTCAATATTCCAAAAATCATTGACAGCTATCCCTGCTATTTTCAAGTATGCTGTCTGCACTGTTAATTCAATCTGGTTTATCGGAATACTGGGTAGTAATTTACTTCCTCGACTTTTATTAAAAAGTTGTTTTGTCTCAGACTATAATTTAACAAAGGTAATGAGTTTTCGGTGTTCCTATTTAACTTTTAGGTTATTAATTAGAAGTAAAAGGAATGCGAAGGTGTGATATCGTGTCTTATGAGTGGGCATCTTGTAGTTAATAAATTACACCGATAAATATAGATTTTATGGTCTAGCGCCTGTAATAAAAGTGATGTTTTTAGGGGAACGAACGTGTTTGATTTTTCGTTTCAACCGCATCTAGAATTGCTATAATGATTTCAAAGGCTTCTTCTTTCTTTCACTCCGCCCTTCCGAGAAAGAAGTACTTGTATCCCGGGGGGAACTCTACTTGTATTCCGGGGGGTACTCTTGCCCGTTTAGGGTAGGAATGTGCCGCCAAGCCCTCCTAACCCTGACCCTGTTCCAGAGTAAAAATCGCTGAAATTCAYACCCTGTTCCAGAGCAAGATCGCTGAAAACCCTGTTCCAGAGAGGAGAGAGCGTGATTTCATATACACTGTTCCAGAGCGAGCGCGATTTTATATGCCCTGTTCCAGAGTAGAATGCGCTGAAAACCATACCCTGTTTTGCTACACGTACCCGTATAGCGAATGTAGGGGAGTCCCCCCCCGGGACTTGTATATTTTCAGTTGGTTTTAACACGTCTTAATACATTGTTTCCTATGTCAATTTTCGATGTAAGAAATTTTGTTGAGCGCCGGACACTAATATAGGTATATTATCATGTGTASGCGGGATCTTTACCGCATAACCCAACGACAGTACACACACAAAAATAAAGTACTTAGTAGTAAGACATAAAGCAGAAAACAAAATGACTAAAAAAATGTCTCGGAAAAAGTCTTTCTTGGGGTATCAGTTTGTTTTACACCCAGCTACAGCTTGAGTGCAAGTGAAATTTAGTAAAGTCATAATTAAGTTCTAAAATATGTTTAATCTTTCTACATCCGTCTTAAAAAAAGTTTGAATGTGAAGTAAAAACTATTCGACAAAATCACTGATTTTGATATAACGTAGTGCTACTGAGTTCTCGTTTACATTGAATTCAGAAATTCTGTTTTTAATTAATTTTGCACTTCACATAAGAGCTGAGAAAAAACTTCAAGATACTGATTATTAACCCATCGTTCCCTCGATTCTTAAATATAAACGCTGACAGCCCATCTAGATACTAGCCAACTATTTTTTACAAATTAGAAAAATTAATTTATGAGGTTGACTTTTCGAAACTGGATAGTTTCAAATCCTGTAATTAGTCAGATCATTAGTAATGCATATATAGTCCTAGTTTCTTCCTCTAATGACCAGAAAGTCGAGGGTTTGAATATCTAAAGTAAAGTACCTTGAACACTACATATAATGAAATAGTGCAATCGGATGGGATAAGATTCTGCGGTTTAGAAAAGGCTTGGAAATTAAGCATAGGGCTTTGACATCGGCTCCACGTTCTCTGTATATCTTTTATTTAGTAGATTCCGGGCCGCAAATGTTCTTTGGTTATTAGAACTAAGCAACACTAAGTCATATCAAAGGATTAAAGAAAAGAAGTATAAGAGTCGGAAAACGGAAACTTCAAAAGAACTCAGTTTGGACGATGGTTTGACGGGCTTGAATTTTTTAAGTAAAAGTGGTGGGTAAAAATTCAGTACTAAGACAATTTGCTGCATATGGTTCACGAGGATCAAGGTTATTGAAAACAAACATCGACGCTGATTGTATATAACAGCATCTCATTTTAGTCAATCCCGCAGATGGATCATTTCATTGTATATTTTTTATTAATATATTTTCAGACACATAACAAACAACATTACAAATTTTGAATTGCGGCCCTTGAATTCATTTTTTTTTTCCCCATTTTTTTGATAATTTTAAATTCTTTTATTTTTTAATTCCCTCATTTTCATCTGATGTACTATGACATTAAGCGTAGAGCCTCTAGTTCTGTTTATATACGATACATATTAAAATAATAGGAAAAGACATCCGTCCATACCGTAGTTTGATCATATATTTTTATATCTGTACACCTTATACACTGACGAATGATTCCACTGATTATAGATATCCATACGTTATCGAAAATCAGCCACATAATAGGAAAGCACTTTCAAACAAGGAATAAGAACTAGCTATAGAAGAACTAGCTCATAGAAATTTCCATATCGGTCTGATTTGAAGTTCAAGCCCCCGCAGTTTGTCTTTTTTCAGTTTTAGGTAATTCTGGTCGGCTCCTCGGGAGATTTTCTAGAATAGAAACGGAAACATTAGGGTTCGTTGTGTCAAACTGCACGCCTCCTAAAACAATTAGAGCCGTGAAATAAGTTTTTCTTTTCGTTTTAATTTTTTTCCGCTAAACTACGTTGCAATGTCGTAGATGAAGCAATATTTTTTTGTTTCTCTGTATTCTTTCATCGTGATCCTCCCCGAGGCAACATTGTTCTTTTTTATCCAATCTTTGTTCTTCATTCAGGATGAAAGCTTTCTAATCCTTGTAGTAATATCCTTTCAAATGTACAATATACCTTAAAAGCCTAAACATTGAATGGAATGGGTTTTGTATTCGATCGCATCTTGGATGTTTTCAGTGTATGTATATACTATACATATCTATTGATGATATATAACGATCTCTAGTTGTTACTGTTAGTAAAGCACGCGCACTGTTAGTAAGATACACAAGCGGCAGCTCATGTGTATGGCTTTTTTTCTTTCTTTCTTTCTTTCTTTCCTTCTCCTCCATTCTCTTCATACAGCAAACAGAACAGCAATGACAGCAATTGCAACACGCCATGTTTGTTGAATGTAACCAATGATTTGTCGTCAGTGAGGTTGTTTCTTATGATAAGCGACATGGCCGACATCTGTTCGTTGCCAAGCTATTTCTTTCTATTGATTGTAAACACCTATTAAAGGTCATTCGTCTGGTTTTTATTTCCGCCAAGGATTTTTGATTCTCGCTTTAATTAGTTATCAACATGGCTAACACGTTCTTAAGAATGATTCGAAACGCAAAGCAGTGGGCACTTTTTTTCTTTCTTTCTTCTTCTTCTTCTTTTTTTTCAAATGCGAAAAACTCAAATATATAAGGCTAAAAAAATTTCTTAACACCATCTTCGTCGCCCTCTTACGCCCAAATCTTCAATTATCAAAGCAACTAACCTCCCAAATGAATGGAAGGCTTTACGACTGTCCGTCATCGTTTGTTCCGAGCTGCCTAAATAACGGAAATGTGCTGTTAACAGTGTAATAATCTTTACTATTTGCATACCCCGCAGTACAAAAAATTGTAAAAAAAACTTACAAAGAAAACGAAGGGAAGCAGATGAATTGTGATGAATGATCGATGAACACCGGAACTTAAAATAGAACACTCTTGCCGAAATGAAGACAATAAGCAAGGTTTTTCCCATCTTGTCTCCTAGAGTTTGGAAATTAACTTTTTATTAAGTTTTTTACCCCGAAAGTTTAATCAAACATCTTAGCCATTCCGAGGTCGAGGAAAAAACATGGTCGAGTTGACATCGCAGTGCATTGTTTGGGGCTGCTTTAGGGGACAAGAAAGACGCCATCTTGGAAATGTCCCCGAAAACAGTCCCACAATGCACTGCCATGCCAACTCGACCCAGGTTTTTCCTCATCCTCTTAATGGCTAATGAAACGAAACCATTAAATGTTCCATTTAATTCCAATAAATTGTTCATTTCTTTTGAATCTTAGAAACCATGTGAACAGACCTCTTCACATTCGTTTTTTTTGTTGTCCCATTCAAAGCCATTTGATGCCATGCATTTCCGAGAGTTGATTCTTTCATATGTAAATATTTTAAAATATTCGTCACGAAAGAACAATTCTCAGGGAAATATCACGTGGTCTGAAATGGGCAATGAAGTTAAAGAGGTCTCGCTATTGTAGACATTATAGCTCGTGAAGTTTAAAAGTTTAATCAAATTATCAAGAACTGAGGAATGGAATGACATTTCCCCCCTTCTGATTCCAATAGACTTTTGTGGTTAATTGTTTCCTGGGAATTTTGTTGATTTAGTTGAAATTAACTTTTGAGTTTTGAGCGTTTAATTAAAAGTATCAATCTCCGTTTGTTGAGTGCGTAGGATATCATGTGGATGCCTGAGCACGTCTATTAATTGTCGATGAAATATTAGTCTAACAAAGATAATTAAAAACTTTGAGTTGACACCGCGATTTATTTTACTTTCATGTTTACCAATGTTTGAAGAGGATCATTGAATATCAGATAAGAATGTGAAAATGTGAAAAACATTTGAAACCACGAAACCTTGAAAGGAAAATCAAATGCAAACAAAAGTACTAAAGAAAATAACTAAAAGTGGGAAAAATTATACATCACTGACAATACTCCACTCCACTCCACTCCACTC